TAGTATGGTTAATTATTCTGGAGGAAACTGTGTATCAATGGAAAAGAGTGAAAGGAAATGATACCCTAAGAAAAGAGGTAAAAGGTCACTTCAAAGACTTATACAAGGGAGAGTCCAATTGGAGACCCACTCTAGACGGGCTTGAGTTCAACATGTTGGAGGATCAGGATCGGGCATTACTAGAAAGGGAGTTCTCGAAGGAGGAAATTTTGAAAGGTCTCATGCACTTTAAGGGAGCTAAGTGTCACAACTTTGATCCATGACTCAGATCTAGAAGAGAGAGAAAACCGTGAAAGAGTCGGCAGGATTGAGAGAGATAAATACCTAGTGATTACAATACCTTTTGATGCGTTATTCATGGAACCTTGTCTATCTATAGGTTATAATGGCGCGTGTTTCATCTTGGCGCCCTAGGGGCTTGGAAGGGCCTTGAAAGGCCGGTCAGACAATTGGGTAAGTGTCTCCATTGTTCCTGTTTTCTATTTTCGTTCAACTACCCTAACCCTAACCCTAATTGTATGATGTTATTATGGAAAACCCAAACAACTCTTAAACAATTTGTGTCTTCTATCCTTGCATATTTGTTTCTCCTTACTTTATCCTTTAGTGGTTTCTTAGAACAAGGCTCCGGACTCCGATGTTTCCGACATGAGTTTCTTGCAGAAATTTGAGGTATGGTTAAGGGAAACATAATTGCTATGTTCAAAGAATTCCATGAAACAGGCTCTTATGTCAAAAAGTTTGAATTCTACTTTCCTAGTCCTTATTCCAAAGGTTGAGGGGATTATCAATATTAGAGACTTTAGGTCAATTAGTCTCATTGGTGGTGCTTATAAGCTACTTGCAAATGTCTTAGCAAAAAAAATGGCCATGGTGGCAGAAAAGGTGATTGCTACAAGTCAGTATGCCTTTGTTAGGAACAACAGATTACGGATGTAGTTTTAATTGCAAATGAGGTGGTGGATGACTTGGTTTATGGATGGGAGTTCTGTGTAAACTTGGTATGGAAAAGACATATGATCACATGAATGGAACCTTTTGAGATACATGTAGTTTAAGATGGGCTTTGGGGTGCAAGTGGATTATGTCTTGCATTACCTTATGCTCGTTTGCTGTTTTGATGAATGAGGGTCGATCCTCTTACTTCAAAGCTTATGGAGGCCTAAGACAAGGAAACTCATTATCTCCTTTTCTTTTTATCATAGTTATGAAGCTTTGGATAAAGATGATTTTGAGGGCAAGAATTTGGGAATGTTTAGAGAGTTGATTGTGGGGGACAGAGAGGGAGCCAAAGAAGTGACATTCTTTTTTTGCAGATGACACACTGTTATTTTGTGAACTGTATGTCAGGGCTATTCTCAACATTATGTGTATCCTGTTAAGTTTCAAACAATTTTGGGTCTCAATACCAATCTTGCCAAGTCTAAATTAGTGAGTTTGGGAGAAACTAGAGAGAGCTCACTGTTGGTAAGCATCCTAGGCTGTAGATTTGTCAAGCTTCTTATTAAGTTTCTGGGAATGATTTAGGGAAAAAAGTATTAGGGTATCTCTATATGAGACCGTATTGTGATGAGGTTTGAATCCATTTATTTGGGTGGAAGAAGAATCACTTATCGAAGGGGGGTAGACTAATTCTTATTAAAAGTACCATGACAAATATCCTTATTTATTATGTCTGTTGGAGTCCATCCAATCAAGATCGTTATAGGGTGATTCCAACAAGTAGAGGAAATATCATTTAGTGGCTTGGGATGATATAAAAAAATTGTCACTTTAGCGGGGGCGGGGGGGAGAGGGCTTGGACCTGAGATCCTTGGTTGTTGTAAGATTTAGGGAAAGGAATTCTGAATATTTACATACATTTCATTACATAGAGTTAGGGATATATATACATAGAAGACAGATCTATATATGAAAACATAAATCACCCTATTAATACTAACAAATCAACTAATAATTACATAAAAATATTCCGTAATATATTTTGTGATATTCTAACGCTCCCCCTCAAGCTAAAGCATATATATTAATCATGTACAGTTTGTTACAAAAATATTCAATTTGGGTTCTATTCAAAGACTTTGTGAATGTATCATTTAATTGTTTCCCTGTTTTCACATAACCGGTAGAAATCAAGTTCTCCTTAATATTCTCACAAATGAAGTGACAATCACCCTCAATGTGTTTAGTTCTTTCATGGTACACCGGATTTGAGATAATATGAAGAGCAGCTTGAATATCACATTAGAGTTTTGCAGGTAATATGGGATTTAAACCCACTTTCACTAAGATGTGTTGTATCCATAAGACTTCACATGTGAACTGCGCCATACTTTTGTATTTGGACTCTACATTGGATTGGGACATAACGGTCTGTTTCTTACTTCTCCATGATATTAGGTTCCCACCAACGAAAATACAATAACCTGTAGTGGAGCTTCTATCAATTTTAGATCCAGCTCAATCAGTATCTACAAAGCATTCAATGTGAATATGCCTATGATTGCTAAACAGTATACCAAGTCCTGTAGTACCTTTTTGGTAGCACAAAATATGTTCCAAAACCTCCCAATGTTTGACTGTAGGTGCATAAATAAATTGATTAACAACACTGATAGGATATGCAATATCTGAATGAGTCACTGTGAGATAATTCAGTTTCCCAACTAATCATCTGTACCTTTCCAAATCATCAAGGGGGTCACCATCATCTTTAATAAGGTGTATATTTGGTACTATTGGAGTGTTACACGGTTTAGCTCCCAACTTTCCAGTTTCTGCAAGTAGATCAAGTACATATTTCCTTTGAGATAAGAAAATTCATTTCTTGTTTCTTGTTACTTCTACTCTGAAGAAATATCTTAATTGATCTAATTTTTTGGTGTAAAACTTGATATGTAATAATGATTTGAGAGAGGATATTCATGTACAGTCCTCACCTGTGATAACAATATCATCAACATAAATAATAAGGAATATAAGACCAGCTGTTGACTGTTTATAAAAGACTGAGTGATCACATTTGTTCTTCTTTAACCCGAATTCCAGAACTACTTCACTAAATTTTCCAAACAATGCATGAAGACTCTGTTTCAGCGCATACAAAGATTTTTTTAAATGACAGACTTTTCCATACTCTCTCTGAGCAACAAAGTTAGGTGGTTGCTCCATATAGTTCATAAACCACAATGCTGACATCGTTGGGTAGGTCGGGCAGACTAACCCATAGATGGAGGCAAGGTAGGGGGAATGGCAACTCTAGTTTGTTTATCGGGATGATTACTTACTGGGTCGGACAATTTCCTTCTCAGCTGTTGGAGTTGTTGTTGTTGGGTACGGACTCGGACAATGCATTGGTGCCTGGCCGATATGAGGTCTTCGGCCAACTGAGCATATTCTAGCACCTCCGCATACAAGTTGTGTCTCAGCATCGCAACTCGATCATAGATGTTGACACGAAGGCTTTTTAGAAACTTCCTACCTTTACGACTCTCAGGGGTGACCATTAGAGGGACGAATCTAGACAGTTGGACAAACCGTGCTACATGCTGGGCAACCGTCAGATTTCCTTAGTGAAGATCCTAAAATTCCCCCTCCTTTTTTGGATATAGGCAGGGAAAAAGTTGTTAAACAATGCATCCATGAATATCTCCCAGGAGGTGGGGGTAGATAGGACTTGTTTCTTAAGTAACTACCAGTGTTCTGCTTTACCGTTTAACATAAAGGCTACTAAGGGAACCTTCTGTTCCTCAGTCAGATTTAGGACAGAGAAACGTTTCTCTATCTGTAGGATTCAGGTTTCGGCTACTAAGAGGTCAGGACTATTTTCAAAATATGGCGGGTTAAGCTTCTTAAACTCCGCTATGTTATGAGAAATGGATCTCTCGGCAGTTCGGTATTCTAGGGTAAGAGGTGGACAAGGCTTGGCTTGATTTTGTCCTACGGTTCCAGTCAATCCTTGGATAGTTCGGAAGAGTTCGGCAAATTCAGGCCTAGTTAGATGATCCTGGGCTTCGGGTCGCTCGATACGCTTTACAGATGGTCTTTCTCGCGTCAGTCCTACAAAAGAAAGGAAGACACGAGTTGGTGATCTAATTTTGAAAAAGATGACTTATTCTTCCTAGGTATTCTAAGGGTTTTTCTACCTACGGCCTCAGTTGTAAGGGATTTGATCTGCGTAATCTGTTCTGATACCATCTGTGACATTTCAAATGTTAATTAAGGCATATGGGTGTCAGATACAGAAATAAATTACGAGTGCATGATAAAATTTTATGCAGTGGAGCAAATTAATACAAATTTCTTACAAATATATGAGTTCCAATTACACATATATATAACTGAGGGTAGAAGTGACTGCAAACTATAACGTTAAAATAAAAGATGGTCATTTATGTCATTATACTATTGGACTCATCAGAGTGCGGGGACTATCATGCACTCAAGTTTTGTGGATCCACGAGATCCTCATAAATTTCAATGGGTAGGTTAGTTAACGGTTCCTTATTCTCTTCCTTATTTGGGGGGAGACATGGAAATAGTGAGTTTCATATGCTCAGTAAGAAAAATAGTATTTAAATAATATCGTAAGATTTTAAATATGAATTATTTTAACATAAACACTTACCATTTGGTTACATCCTAGACCTATCTTACCTTATGAAAACAATTTATTTATTAAAGAAAACATCACGTTAATATAATTAAGATAAACACACAACATACAAGATAATAGAGAAAATGGGAAGGAAGGACCCCTATTTATAGAAAATGAGAGTCGTTGGATTTGCGCTAAGTGGCAAAATCCGGCGAAGAGATAGAGAAAAAGATGCTCGACACGAAAATGGACCGATGACAACGGGAGCGGGGGCACATAGCTTGAGGCAGCAGTGGCCTCACCTGCTCGGCGCGTTGGAGGGCTAGCCTGCAAGCGCATGGGATATCTTGTTGCGCACGTAGGGCCTAGGTGCGCTGGGCGCCGCGCGCAGGCCTATTGCACGCGGACCCGAAGCACACAGGGGCCTATCCGTGTGCGAAGTGATGCGCGGACGGCCTGTTGGCGCTCGTCTTGTCTTGCGCAGGATTGACCCCACGCCCCGCGTGCGGATGGGACATGCGCACTGTGCGAACGTCCTACGACTGCTACGCCCACATGCGTTCGCATAGCGCATGGGCGCTCGTGCAGTCAACCCTTTCTCGCGGGATTTTTTGCCATGTTTTTCTATTTTTTTTAAAATTATTTTATTCAAAATTAAAGGATTAAATAATTAAATTAAAATAAAATGAGATAAATAGGATTAAAATAGAATAAAATCCACATAATTTATAAATTACGATAATAATTTGCGGAGTAAATTAAATGAGTTCAATGTGGCCTAAAGGCCTGAATAAATAGGATTTTGTAAATACAAATTGAGCACAATGGTGAGCGAGGTGTTACATAACAGGTGCTATCAAATATCTTAAATTGTACCCGAAATAAAGAATTGTTTGGAAAAAGAAGATTGTAAAGAGCATCTCTATCAAGTACTGTAGATGACATACGATTATTAAAGAAATATGCTATTGAAACAGCATCAACACAAAATTTCTTAGGGGCTTGCATTTGGAACAAGGGCGCTCGAGCTGTCTCTAGTAAATTTGCTTGTTCTTTCTTTCAGTGACTTGATTTTAAGATGGTTTATCAATACACGATGATTGGTAAATAATCTCATGTTGAGTCATATAGTTCTGAAATGAGTCTCACATATATTTTTTGGTATTATCACTTCTCAATATATGCACAGAAATATTGAATTGTGTCTTTATTTTAGTACAAAAAGCACAAAAGTGAGAATACTTCAGAACGATTTTTCATAAAATATATTCAAATCATTCGAGAAAAATCATCCATAAAGGTAATAAAATACTTAAAACCTCTTTTAAACGCAATAGGACAA